TAAAGTTTATTCAAAATGACCTCCGTGATTTTGAATACAGGCCTTCAATCTGCGCGGCCAGTCGTCTATCGCAGCACGAACGAGGTCCATGTCAATATCGGCGGCTGCCTTAATCAAGGATGTCTTGAGTGACTCCAAATTGGGATGAGGCTTTGAGCACGCCTTTTCCTCCAAGTGTTGCCATATCTTGTAATCTAACGGATTCAAATCTGGACTGGAGGAGGGCCAGTCTTCGTGCCGGATGAAGTCGATTTCACGCGCCGCCAGCCAGTCTTGTGTGCTCTTCGCTCTATGAGCTGGCGCCGAATCTTGTTGGAATACCCAGTGCCTGTTATTAAACATGGTATGAGAAACAGGTTCCACAAGGTTCGTCAGGACTGTATTTTGATACACAACTGCATTCGTTTTTACACCTTTCTCACAAAAATGTACCTCTGTTAAGCCCCAATAAGAAACTCCCAACCATACCATGAGCGAGGATGGAAAATGACCTCGTTGAACACGCGGAATACGGTTGCTCGCTTCTTCACTACTGTGTGCGTACACCTTATTATTTTGTTTGTTGTAGCTCTCTTCTACGGTAAAAATTTTTTCATCCGAAAAAAGAATTTCCCGATATTTTTTTCCCGCGTACCACTTCAACAAACCGCGGCATCTCTTCAGTCTCAGGTCCATTAGACGAGCATTCAAACGATGTCTTGTTTTTCTTCGATATGCCCGAAGCCCTAAGTCTTCATTTAACACCCTTTTCACCGTGGTTCTGCTTAACCCCATCTGAAGGGCCAACAGTTTCTGCTTACGTTTGGGATTTCTTTGAATTCGCGCCTTCACAGCTTTTATCACTTCTGGAGTCTTAACAGACCGAGGGCGACCACTTCTTGACCTGTCATCTACACTAGAGTCTTCATTGTATCGTTTGATGGTACGATAAACGAATCTTTTGGTTATATTCAAATTTTTCAGTATGTCAAAAATTTGAATTGGCGCGTAACCGCAACGATGCAACGCAATAACTGCAACACGATCTTCTTTAAGCGTCCACTCCATATTTAAAAATGAGTAAAATTCTAAAAAGTATACAGTTTTATTTTCATGAACAATTCGAAATTCGAATTCAATAAACTTTTTTGTGGCCAGCATTCTAAAAGAAAAGTTTTTACTGTGTGACATTACTTATGACCTGACTAGGTATAAGCTTAGGTGAGAAAAACTTTTTGTTATATTTTTTTGTACAAACTCTCAGACGAAATAAAGAGTCACTTTTTTATTTGGTCTGAGTACAAACCATGTCTTTATTCCCATATAATAGAAGAAAATTGGAATTAAGTAAAACACTGCACTGCACTTGCAAGGGCTATAAAAATGGGCCACAAAGGTAACCTAATCTTTTACAAAATTTGACTTGCAATAGGTACCTATCATGTCATGATGTTTTGTTTTGTTTAATCGATAGTTAAATATAAGTCATACTTACATCAAAGTGATCTTCACAGAAGTATAGTTTATATTTTGTAGACAATGCCTTCGGGTCTCTTCTTCCCAGTTTAAACCAAGTATTTCTCATATTTAAATCAGTTGGCACTTTAATCCATAACTTCCCCGGCGTTCTTATGCTCGTATTTTTGCAATCAGGCACAACGCAACAATGATATAGATGATAACTCATTATTAAACATTGAAAATTATCTTATTCCTTTGCAAAATTGTCAAAGTTCTAGTACAGTGACGTCACGAGTTGAACAGTATGGCGGCTAGTAGGTTTTCACGCGAAAATTTAGAACGATAGATTAAAAGTAATTTTTATGTCACTATACGGTTTTAAAAAATTTATATAAAAATTATAGTCGTTCATTATCACTCTCCTAGATATCATTCATTCATTTAAAACACTTTTTGAAAATAAGTGTAATACCCTATTAAAGATAAAGTAGGCAGTTAGTACCGATCATTATTTTAACGAGGTTTTGGATTATAGGACAAGTTTAACTATGCAGTGGAAAAAATGTTCTCCTACACTTCAGTCCACATCAGGGTGATCGATGCTCCTTGTAATCGCAAATAAATGTTTTTATGTGTTTTTTTTATACAGCAAATTGATGATTTTTCTTTGCTTATTTTGTTTCACTTTTATTTGTGCTTTGAGACCTTGTTTCGTGCCAAATCTCATGATTCTAGGTATAAAGCAACACGGGCTGCCAACGTATCTACTGGACGGGAGGTGACCGCAGGCGTTCCCCTGTACTAAAGTATAAGTCCACGCTATCCTATGCGTACAATAAAACTAGTTGCAACTGTACTGCTCACTAGACTTTTAATTGCGGGACTGAATCGACGTCCTACAAACACTCCGAATATTTAAGTCGAATGATAAAATAAACTTCTATAATATATTTAATTATCAAATAATAAATGTTTGTTAATATCAAAAGTAATACTTATATGAAAAATATAGCAGCAATTATGTACTCCGACTCCGTGTCCCCGTTTTTTATTTCCCCATCAATTATTCAATTTCGTGCACTAATTTTTTTAAACTTTTTACGGCTTCCTTAACTACTATTTTTCGATAGTCCTTGTAAGTAAAATGTACATCACTAGCTAACGCACACGATGACAAATCAAAATTAGTCACGCGTTTCCGGGCTTTCAGGTCGTCTATTATACGCCAGTATCTTCTAAGTCAATATTACTTGCTTATAATATTACTTGCTTGTTGCTATAGTGCTGCCAGCAAGATTGTCAGTAATGTCAGTAATACATAGCAATTTACAACAATATTTTTTGAACTGAAAACTTCCTTAGAATCGTTGTAATTTTAAATGTGAGTTTATTTTGCTAACCACCTTGTGAGTCAATCAATTTTCTTTCGATAAAATGACTTTACCTATAGAATGGCGCTATTACAAAGTAATTTTACTCGAAAAAATATTCTTTTCACTTGTTACACTAAAATTTAGGTTCTACCTGTCTAAGAATTAGAATTTTAACATTTATTTGCTATGAAATTAAACTTATATTTTATTTTGCTGCACACATGTTTTTTTTAGTGTTACCGGACAATCGCTCCGCCATCGAAAATAATGCATCATTGCCGGATCATCTCTATTGTTATTTCTTTTAACGTGATATGTGCATCTCTTTCTGAAGTATATGATATTTGGTAGTAACAAAGAGGCGTTTAGTTGATATATTCGTGTTTTTTTACTGTTTAATGTTTGAGACAATAATTAGCCGAATTAAACAATTATTAATAATAAAAGGAATTCGAAGTAACTTTTTTAATGTTCTTGTAAAGTCTTTGATTATTTATTTTTTCTTACTTTTGAACATAGTTATGTCCACCTCTAAATGACACAAAACACAGCCCGGAGCCACCTACGAGCATCGGTTACTCTAGCTAGTTAGGGGCCACCCCTTTTTTACCAGTACAAGACTTGTAATCTTTCTTGCCCGCCGATAAAAGAATTTTAGAGAACATCTGAAAATCTCAGGTCATGCCGCATGATAATTTCCGCAAGTGTGTCACTTATATGGTCCGCTATTGTAAAGTACTAGGAACTAATTACTTCCAAACTATTATTATAAATATTCCAAGTATTATTATATAATTATTATTCCAAATATTATTTCATTATTTTCCAAACTATCCAAACTTTGGTTCCAAAATAATCTGACGAAAAAAACCTAATTAAGTGATATTCTTAATTTATAGAACCTCCCGTAATTTCAAACGATCGTGCGTCAATTTGAAAGTTTATGAACCAAAATATATAGAAGTCGATGAAGATTTCATAAAACCTCCGACGTGACCATGTACGTACGGACCACTCAGTGACCAATTCATTTACGATCAAACCTGTCCGTAGAACAAGTCGCAGCTATCATTACGTGCTGATCGAAATATCGTTGTGAAGGTTCATTCGATAGTCCGTACTATAGTCATCATGTGAATGATGACTATAGTACGGACCTTTCGGCATGACTAGTTGCACGGACTGATCTACGACCAATCAATTCACAATCGAAACTGTCGCACCTCTTCTACGTTTTAGTGTGGACTGTGAAAAACTACTTAAATTAACCGGGAGTTCTTGTTCATAAAATGAACCGCCGCTAGTCAAAGCCCACGGATGTAGGCACCCGATAATTAATTTTCAATGTCACCCATTGGTGATTAGCGTCGAGATGCTCTAACAACACCAAAACTTTTTTTTATGTGTAATTATTTCCTCAATTATAAACATGCTTAAAATTATAATAAACCTTTTTTCTATTTTATTTCTTTTAAAAATCTCTTGATTGCTTCATTTGCAATACTTCCTATGATGACTTGATAGGAGCGCCATACTACATCGTGTTTCACTGCGGCTCGTTTTTATTAGCATCTATCTAGAAAATGCTAACTAATAGACGGAATTACTGCAGCCCGCCGCTATAACCCCTTTAAATTGATAGTGGGATCTCGCACTAAGCTATAGTATTTATTTATTTTAACCGAATGGCGACATTGTAGAATATCTACTACCTCATGTCATCCTGTGGGTGTCGTAAGAGGTAACAGAGAGAAAATGAACCAGGAGATGGGCAACAGCATCTTCCTGATAATAGCTGATTAAAAATAACAAACTGCGGTTGCCAACACGCTTGCCATACGTGGCAGTTATAGCAAATATCCCGTCCATGTTGCAATCTTTGAAGGAAGCTTATATTAAGTTGTAGACATTTGATAGGCTGTAATTGTAATGGTAATTCATGTATTTGTTTATTGTTTTATTGCAACGAAAACCTAACTAGCTTGGAATTAGACAATGTATTCCCAACAACTTTTAATTTTGTCTTCATATTTCTTGATGATTTATGATTTTTATTATAGTGGCAACAAATGACGTCTCTGTCTCTGTCTATGGTCTATTGCCAATGTTTGAGTTGAGTGTGATTATTCTGCAATTGTAAATGTCATACTTAGTAAAATAGTAGTTTATTGTGATAAAAATATCAGGATGTCTGAAAACAGGGAAGAAATTCTAGCAAATTTTCAGGTAATTTCATCACACGTCGCAATTTTTTTAGTATTAAAATGTATATAATGTCGTATTCTTATATTGTGAAGGTTATGTGGAGATCAACAACAGTGACTATTAAAACCTCTTTTATCTCTTTGTATTTAATCTGGTATATATTTCCACATCGATTATAATTTTATCTTTTTAATCTGATCTCCTTAATAATTTTCATTAAGTAAGTAATGTAGTAGAACATACTTAAAACTTAGAAATTGTAACGTTCTTTGTGTTCATCTTAGTCTGATTTTGGTTGTGAATTACGTTTCAAGATAACAATTTATTTAAAATACAACTACGTTGATTGAAACTGTTTTTAAAGTAAAAACCTTTATAAATTTATAATTGTACTTATTAAGAGGAAAAATACAAAGTCATTGTACATTTTTGTTTTTAGGGAATAACAAACACAGAAGATGTTGCTGAAGCAATATTCCACTTAGAGGAATCAAATTGGGACTTACTTGTAAGTAGCAATGATATTAAATTTACTATTTCATTAATTTAAGTGAGATTTCATTGTTATTGGAATTCTGTAAAACTAATTTATATCTATTATGAACATACAAATGGAACAATGGAAATAAAGAGTTGTGGGTTTATTTTATTTATATGCACGATTTTAAATTGTTGGGATAAAGGTAGCTTGTATTGGTAATTTTGGTAATTTTAAAAATCTTGTTCACATTTGATATAAGTATTTATTAGATGATTTTAATGACCAATATATACAAATATATTATGTGATCAATTTTTCCTCTATAATATTGTCCTATAAATGGCTATTTGCTGAAGCCCTAAGTTAAAGTAATTAGTATTTTCCTATTCTAAAACATTATCAAGGTAAGGTTTAACATTTTTAATTGGAAAAAAAAAATCCTGAAACAACTTATAATAACTAAATAAAACTTTTAAAATAAATTAAACATTTTGATTCTCAATGCAAAATGCAGTTCACTGATTTTATTTATTTGTTTTCATGTAGACAGCTATCAATCGAGTAATGCCTCAAGATGGAAACAGTTCACATAACTCAATGTCCCAAAACAGCGACACTCATGATGTTGAGATGATAGATGAAGATATATCTGTGATAACACCAAAAACCCACCCACCAGGTATGCAAAGATAAGCAATAAAATTATAAAGTGTAATTTTTTTTAAATAAAAAGAAAAATTATTTTTTAAATAATTTTTTTAAATATATAAATAAATGTTGACACTTTAATTATAGAAGCATAACATAGTTAAAGTTTAAGCTAGATATAGTTGGTAGCATGTAAAGACTACATATCCAAGTTGACTTTCTATAATCTTTATTCTAAATCTATCAAAATGGAATAAAATCAATTTTAACTCATATGACTTAATATTAACATTTGCTTTAAAGTTTTCTATTGGGGGTAATATGGAAAGTCACTTTTCTAACACCACTTGCTTGCAACAGACGACTAATCACCTTGTATTTAATCTCTGGCCAGAAGTGAAGAACTGTGGCAAAAGTATAACATGTCTTGTAGTGCAATTTTCAATCCTCATGCCAAGCATAGCTCTAATGGCAATTCCTCCCAACAATAGGGGAAGTCCATGACCAGCAATGGATTTTTACTGTTTAAAATAACAGTATAGAAATATTAAAATGTATTATAATAAAAAAGAGTATATTAGAATTAAATATATCAGTTAAAAATATAGATATTATAGTTGATAGACGATTTAGGCTATTTATAGGTACTTTAATGTGTGTTGGGTTTGAATAAGTAAGACTTGTTTTAATTGGGGCATCCATAACTTTTTCTGCCACTAGGGCTGTGCCACTTTCAAATGAGGTGAAATATTTGATAGATGTCATAGCAAGGGGAAGTAAAATTGTTAGAAAAATATAAATGTAATATAATGTGTGTTTATATGTGGTAGAGCCATGCTGCAGCTATATTAATAGTATAGTTGTCCCATGAATGGGTCCGCTCGACTAGGGAAGGACCACACTCTCACAGAACACCAGCATAAAACAGCAGCTTAATGCTGCTGTGTTTCGTATGGTGAGTGTATAGAACCGGAGACCCTTTTTACTGGAAAAGGGGCATTCCATCTTAGTCCTCATGGTTGACAACGCGTCTGCATTTTAATTCTCAAACGAAGATAGATGTAGATGTCTATGGACCACAGCAACCACTTACCATCAGGTGAACTGTGTGCTCGTTTGTCACACTTATTCCATAAAAAAAAGTTTAAAGTTTTTTCTTTTTTTTATATAGGATAAATGTGACAAACGAACACACAGTCCACTGAGGACTAAGTGAGGACTAAGATGGAATACCTCATTTCCAGTAAAAAGGGCCTCCGGCCACCTGCACTCACCAAGCGAAACGCAGAGGTAAACCTCTACTTCACGCTGGTATTCTGTGAGATCGTAGTACCACTCCGGTTCGAGCCGGCCCATCCGTGCGACAGCAAAAGCCGCCACGTGGCCCTACCACTATAGAAGTGGTAGAAGGTAGTTTTCTGGAATACTAGTTGTATTTTATATTAATTAAATTAAAATGAATAAACCAAAGTACAAATATTCCTAAAATAAAATCATTAAATAGAGAGTTAAAAAATGTGCAATAAATGAATACCAATTAGGCATTGTTTTGTGTACATAGTTATATACACTAAAAACCAAACAAAAATATTTCATATGCAACTTTTGGCTTGTGTTGACACTGTGTAACAAATAACTTCACCTGGGTTCCAATAGTGACATCTTGTGAGCGGAAAGTTATTAGCCATTATTGATGCAACACCAAATTAAAATGATATCCTTACATATGTCAAAGATATCACTGAGCTTATGGGTATCAAAACAAGTGTTATTGATTCTGCACAGGGGTTTTGCACATGGCTGCTCCAAAACAAACTGACCGAACATTGAGATTCAAATTCACGGTACAAATCACTCTGAATGGGATTCAAAACTATATTACATATATATTCATCACACTAACTTACTCTTAAGTAATTTAATGTTATGACACCTCCAAAGAACTTTCTCAATATGTCTAATGGAACAGAATGTGGAATGATAATGAACTTATAAAACATGAAAGCAGATTTTAAAATTTCATTCATATATTTTTATTATCATCTATGTAAGCAGACTTACTTATTCACATTCATTCAGTAGTCAACTTATAGGTAGGTAGAGAATGCCTTAAGATTTTGACTTAAGCCTTTGTACTTTTTGTGCAACCAAGTTTAAATAAATAAATAACTTCATTAATCATCCATCATTCTTTACCAGATCGGGAAGAAAATAATCAAGCATCAACCTCATCACCTAGAAATAGTTCCTCCAATCTGGTAGAGCTTCAAGTTCATTGCAATAATAAGATGCATGAAATCAAAATGTCCGGCTCAGCTACAGTTAGTAAGTAAAAATTATTTTCATTTGTACTATTTTTGTGTGTATTTGTGTATGTAATAGAACCTTGAGTCACTATTTTATTATACTGTTGACCTTCAGCTTCTTACAGATATTCTTCTTTTTTGTTTTTTTTTTGTTTTTATTGATTTTATTGAACACATTCTGACTATACACAAATTGACAAAGGCTACCTATTGGTACTTTGATACTGTTTGTGACCTATAGCACCTCCTCAATAAAGAATAAACATGAAGATGCCTTATTACCCTGAGGACTAGGACAAACATCCAGACCAGGAATAATAATTTGTAAGCCATACAAACACTTGTTCCGTATGGGATTCGAACCTGCGGTACCTTGCTGCTCCACAGCCAAATGCCTTTGCGTTACAGAAATGTCGTCATCGGATTAAGTGGAATGCTTCATTATCAGTAAAAAGGTTCCCTGTTTCTTGTCACTTACCATAGTGATTTCTTAGTTAGTCGACTCATTCATGCTGCACCCATAATACAGTACAGTGCAGTACCAATAATAAAGGCATGAACTATTCAATTCAAAATAATAAAGACATTAAATCGAGTCAGTGCCAGATGTTTAGTAAATTGTTTATGTCCAGCCATGGATACACCCGAATCGGGAGAAGTCTTGTCAAATACTATAGATCATGTTTGATTGAAGTTTTACAAACTTAAATGTAAATATTTAATAATTCAACAAGTCTTATAAATAAAAATTGCTTTAGGTTATATAACAGTGTGTCATTAACTGGCTCAGCAGAAGGTCTTCTACCTTTTCCAGTAGGCAGGTGGCACAATGAATTTTACTCCAAACTCGGGTCTTCTTACATTGTAAATATAAAATTATGTAATCACTCGACCAGAGCATCTCCTATCAGATCCAGATTTTGTGATTTTCTTTTTGGCACAATACCAACATATTGTGAATATGAGCCATTTTTGTTCGTATAATACATAGAATTTGTTAATGATTTGACTACAGCGCAACCTATGTATATAGTATATGTATATGGATCCTAGCATAACCATTGAGATTAATTGATAAAAATTGAAAGCAGAAGAGGAGAGATTATACCGCCTCGTGGGACACCAGTAGACACATCACACCAGTCAGATAGTATATGTCCAGTGCGCACGGTCTGTTGGCGCCCTCGAAGATATAATGAGAACCATTCCTGAGATGAACAACAAGATATCATGATCAACAGAATTAAATGCGTTAGAAAAATCAATTAACATGAGAATGGTCGGTTTTAATTTTTTCATCCCCTCGGATATCTTCCGTCACCTTGAGAAGAGCAGTAGTTGTAGAATGACCAGGGCGGAAACCCGACTGATATGGGGAAAGAATATTATTTGAAAAAACAAAAGAAGAAATTGTTTATGAGCAACAGCATAACCATAGCATAAACCATAAACCATTAAAAAAAACTTAACAAAACATATTATGTGAATATGACCTCAATTGGTCAAGTCGTACGCAAGTCAAACAATCCCTAACAGATGCATCAATAATTATATAAAGATCAATCATAAAATACGAATCACTTTGTTTTACGCAAGTTAACGCATTGGACTATATATAGAAACTAGATTACATTCCACACTGATATTATTATTCCGCGTCATACATAACTCGTTTTAGGAAACAAACATTGACATAAAGCTATATAGGAATAATCCATTGAATGAAACTATTTAAATTTTAACTAATACCACCGATGATGCAACATTTCGAGCATTTTGTAGTACCTACGGTCGCAGTCTGTCCGGAACCAGACCTAAATTATTTTTCAGCCCGACGTCATAGTTTAAACAAATAATGACAGTGGATATCCCTCAACTCGATTTCTGAACACTGTGACGACTTACAAATATTATCGGAAACTGTTAACTGCGATGGAGATATTTTCGCTACAATAGCTACAATATTACACCCATTTTCAAATTATGACCTACGTACTCCAGGTTCCCGCAAAACATAAAAGAGACATTCCTCGCTCCCGATTTCAGGCCCTCTGGGGTAGTGTTTCGCCGATACAGGGACGCGCCAAAGAAGAAAGTTTCCTAAATAATGTTGTGTTTATATTTTTTATATATATTACTATAATTTTTATATATATTTTTATTTAAAACCGCATAGAATAGTGGCATAAAAATTATATTTTAATTTATCGTTTTAAATTTTCGCGCGAAAACGCTCATTCTGTTCAGCTCGTGATGTTATTGCTTTATTAAATAAAACGATTTTGCAAAAGAATAAGATATTTTTTGGATGAGTTAATAGGCGTGCAAGACCGCGGATGAGCAGTTTGTAAAAACCGCGCAACAGCAAAAGGCGCAAAATTGAAATATCGCGGCAACAGATCCTTTAAGCTGATTTGCTTATACTAAATCTCATTCGATTTGAATTAGCCTATAAGAAACCTCGTTTTTGCCATCGAAATAACACCGCGTATCAGTAACATGCCCAAATTTGGCAATATTTCCAGTAATAATAATTAAATACCAGCTAAAGTAACAACAGTGCTTCCGTAAATAATTATTTTAACGTGAATAACTACCATGTAAGTATGTTTATGTTGTTTTTAATGTATTTTTACTAATATTTTATTCATGAATATATTAATGGCATAATGGTTCTAATTGTTCTTCAGACGTTTCAGTTGCTGCTCTTTCTTTCGTCGCCCTCTCCGACATAACTAATTTAAGTTCATTATCGCCAAAAAAGGTTCTCGAGTGGCGGCCTCGTACTGGCGGACGAAGTGTAGGGCGTCCCCCCACTAGATGGAGTGACGATCTGGTAAGACATGCAGGAAGTCGATGGATGCAAGTGGCTCAGGACCGTGCTTTGTGGCATTTCTTGGGGGAGGCCTATGTTCAGAAGTGGACTTGTGAAGGGCTGTAATGATGAATGACCGCCAGAAAATTTGGAAAGGTTCCGAAAGAATTCCGATAAAAATATAGAAGAAATGGTGAAAAAAATTAGAATGGAAGAAAGCTAAAGGGAAGTCTATACAATTGGCAAACAATAGGAAATAAGTAACTGAGGTAGATGGGAGAGAAGTATGTAGGATTTAAAAGAGACGGTAATAAATATGTTCAAAATGATTCAAAACCAGCAAGAATAATGCTCAATTTGTATGTCAAGGCGATGTTTCAGCTTCACAAAAAACAGGATCGCATGTAAAAAAATTGCCACCATCAATGTATTTATCCTTGGTAGATCAGTACTTTCTGCTTTTATGATGTTCGTCTGTTTATGATTCCGTCTTCTATGATGTCATTGCAATAAAATACGAAATAAAAGTCAACAATTGTCATAACTTGAAAATTTTTGAAATAACACACACCACATTACCTTGTTTACTTTATCAGTGACGTCACGACTGAATCTAATATGGCGAATAGAGTTTTGGAGATATGAGACACAGATTAAAAAGAATATTCTAAAAATTGAATTTATAAAATTTATAATGCATTTTAATGAATTTTAAACATATCTTGATTAATTTTTACAAAACCTATCATAAATATGTATTTTTTTAAATTTTTTACATAGTGCAAAATACCCTATTACGATACACGATCCTCACTGGTACACGTGAAATTCTGGCAATCAGTGATATTGACATCTTCTGTGACTGTTTTCCAAAATTCAAACTTTTATCTAAATTACTGAAACTTACCTAATTGATGTAATTTTCATCCTGTAACCCAACTAGTACAATACGTTATTAGTGGGTATACGAGTCGTATATAGATATAGTATCTATATATCGATACAATATCGAATATCTAATTATCGGAAAAAAGTAACTATGTAGGTAGATACCGCTTCAGTACAGCGTCAATATAAAATATCTATGATATGGATACACTGATTCGAAATTCGAACGAATCATGAGCGTGAGAAAGAAAACTAGATATTATTTATATTTGAGTAAAACAGATATTGTTAATTAATTAGTTATAATTCGGCAAGAAGGCCCAGAAAATGGTTAAAATTTTCCCGGCCGATGCACCGGAAAATGGGTAAAATTATCCCAGCCGAAGCGACAAAAAATGGTTCTAATCCGGGCGAAAGGCCAAAAGTTTTGACAGTCCCCTCTTGCCTAACACTACCCAAAAAATGCTGAAGAGACCGAAACATGTGAAAATCTGAAGTTGCAAGGTCAGGACTATATGGTGGATGCATTGACACTTCCCAACCATGCTCTCTCAGTTTTTCCTGAGTGACCAAAGATGTGTGTGGTCTGGCGTTATCATGATGATACGAGGGCGGCACTGAAAATTTCGAGAATCAAGGAAGTGACACAACATTACTATTTAAAAATATATTTATTGCTTTTCGAAGTATTCTCCGCGAAATTTGACACATTTTTCCATACGATGGAACCAATCATTCAAGCAACCATTCCATTCGGAAGTTGGGGTCTCCAAAATGGCCGTTTTGTAGGCTTCTTCAGGTGATGAAAATCTCTGTCCACGCAATTTCTTCTTTATTTTAGGGAAAGTATAGAAATTATTAGGGCTTAGGTCGGGGCTGTACGGCGGATGGTCTAATAATTCTATGTTTTCTTGCCCTAAAAACTCTTTTGTTCTGTGTGCGATGTGAGAACTCGCATTGTCGTGATGGAGGATGATGCGGCGGTTGCAGTTCTCTTTACGGAGTTCAGAAACGACCTGTGGCAAACAAATGCTAGCATACCATTCTGCATTAACCGTTCTTTGTCCCTCAAGAGGAATAGTCGTAACATGGCCGGTTTTGGAGACAAACGTGGCCACCATTTTTTTTTGCAACACTCCGTGAACGAACAATTTTTGTTGGCTTTAACTCATTTTCGAACACCCAAACTCGTGACTGGTTTTTTGTTTCGGGTTCGTACGCGTATATCCAGGATTCGTCACCTGATACGATGTTGTATACAGCTTTTGAGGATCCTGCGTGGAATCTTTCGAGAGTTCTGACGCACCAAGTAACGC